TAGTGTCTTATCTACAAACCCATCTGCCTTCCAAAATTTACTTCGGAACTTACTCAGTTAAAACTCCTCGCCGAATAAGAAATAGCGCCGCGAGGGGAGGCCGGGGCCGAATTTTCGGAGCCCACAGTGAAATACTGGTGGGTAATGTTATACTAAGTTTTCTATATTACATCTTTTAAAATCATAAATTTAGCAAATCAAATATTTTTATTTTCTTTAATGTGACATAGATTTACATTTAAAATCGAATTCATTTTTTTATTTGAAGAGTTAAAGTGTAAATCAGCAAGAAAATATTCTTATTTAAAATATTATTCATATTTTTATCAAAATATAAATCTATCTTAAAGTGAGCAAATTTAATATTTCTTTTGCAAGTAGTGAGGTGATTAAAATTAATTTGTAAGATCACCTCAAATATTGTGGACATTTTATTGCAAGATAATTTGAACTTATATTATTTACATCTAATTGTATTTGCAACCACTACAAAAAGTAATGCTATTAGGGCACCTTAAAGTGTCATAATATATATCTATTAGGACACATGATATATTGGAGCATCAAACAAATGTGTCACTTAGGTGGTCATTGGCATAGGGTTAAGGGCATCTTTTTGTGCCCTAAAAATTAAACTTTTATGACATATAATTTTGATGTCATAGTCTCCTTAATGACACCTATAAGGTGTCCTAATAGATAAGCTTTACTAACACCTTTATATGATGGAATTTATAAATAAATACAACAACTATTAAGTGTCATAATATGTTAACATTCATAACACATTTATCTGATAGAATATGTTTAATAATAAGGCACATTTAAGTTGTCCTAAGATATATGATTTCCCAACACTTCAATTTAATTAAATACATTTAATAAAATGACAGTATTGTGTGCCTCAATATATAATTTATCCAATATTAATTATATTCAATTATCAAATAATTATGCTGAATCATAATATTTCAATTGCAAGTAATTAATCTCCAATAAAATTTCTAAAAATCTCACATATGAAAGCTTACATAAGATTTTTTTTTTTCAAATCAAAATTTATTTCATAAATCTAAAATTACATGAATTTTTCACCTAAAAAAAAATATTTCAAGCTTTATATATGAACATAATCAATCTATTATAATAAATATCATCACAAAACATTACACAAAATATCCAAAAAAATAAAGCACTTCATCACATGTACTCATCACATGACTAATAAAAAAAATCTCTGTTTTCATTACACAAAAAAAGCCCTGCAATCGTTGTGAGCAGATAAATATATTTTACATTAGTGTCCATCAGTTTCTCTACAAGAAATCCAGTCAATACCTTGATTGGGAGTAGAGAAATTAATGGATTTATCGTCTTTTGTGAACAGAAGCTTCATATTCATCAACTCTTTTTATAGAAGTTGCATTTTCTGATCTTTTGTTTCTGAATTATTGAAGGTGTTTTTCTATCCTTTGGCTATTAGGCAGCTTAGGAAGATGATGATGTGATTCAATATTATTGTTCTTTTTAGCAGCCCAGATCTCAGCATATTTCCCCGACTTTCTGAAATTTTTAATAAGGGTAGAAGGATCAATGTTTCATGCAACAGGTACCTTCCTCTGCTTAGCATCTATTGCTATAGTGTAAACCCCTTAAAAAAATTAAAAAACTCTTTAATTTTCTAACAAATAAATGACAAAAATAAAAGGAAAATAAGTAAAAATAGTGAATAATAAATCAGAATTAACTCAACAATTATAAAAAAAATACCATCAATCTTTTGGAGCAGCTTCTTAACTTTCTTCTTACATCATTCACATGGATGTTCACTTTAAGTACACAAATCTGCAGTCAAAACAAGCAGATAAAGTCAAAAGAATGCTTCAACAAAAGTTATAAAGCTGAACATGTAAGACTCAATTCTTCAAGCATAGAAAAACAATATGTGAATAAAAAATGTAAAAAATGGGTTTAAAATTAGAAAACTCAGCCTAGAAGAAGATATACCTTGAGGAAGTTAAAAGTCCTCTACTTTACTGAGCTTACTCATGACTGCAAGTCTGTTTTTTTTTTTTTTTGGGACATTTAGGCCATTTAAGGCAAACTCACACACACAACGCATACACATAGACTCAAACCTTGGATCTCTTAGTTGGAAGCCTAAGCTCTCAACCAATAGGCCAAGGAGAGTTGTGTAAAAGGAGATTGATATCAAACTAGTACCAGAAAAAATTGATTCTGCATCATTTTTATTTTTCCATGAGAAGTTAATCTTCCTTGCTGATTTTGTTCCTGATTGATCCAGGACTAGGAGATAGTCTCTAATAAGTCTAATTTCCTGGAAAAAAAAAACTTCTACAAAAAATTGCAATTTTCAAATTTAAGACTCCTGAGAAATCTAATTTAAGCTCTATTTTTTTGCTAGATTAGCTAGAAACAATCAGTTACATCAATTCGATGCTATTTGAGGATTTATTCATCTCACAAAGGATCTGAGAAACACCATCACCTAACAAAACTTATAAAACTTGCATTTGAATCAGGATAGGACAATATTATGATAAAACAGGTCATACTGCTTCTTTCATTTTAACCTCGGATGGGTCTTTCAGTGACTAGTGAGCATCAGTCTCTTTTGGTACTGAAGAAACCAGAATCCCATAACCACTATTCAATTCTCTTAAAACCTTCAAAACAAAAGACTCAATGAGATGAGAAAAAAGGTCATCGTCATATAAATTTCAGAGCTTAGCTACTAATTATTTTAGTTACCTTGAAGGCATCCTTATCAGTACGATCACACCCGATATAAATGGGAAGGACATGGTCTCGATCATTCAATCCTAGACATTCAAGCAACAAGTTGACAGCTTTCCCTTTATTCCAATCAATTATAGTGCAGATTTCTAAAACCTGCAAGTTGAAATCCATTAAGATAAAAAGATTTAAGCAAATAACAAAAAATGGCAGATTGGCCATTTTTACCTTCCACCCATGTGTTAAGTGCAGAAGAGGATAGTTCCTGAGGATGTCATGTACGTGCTGGGCAATTAAAGTCCAATTCTGCATGATAAAAAATATTAAACTCTTTAAGTGTATGTACTTAGAAATCTAAGAGAAAAACTCTGCAATTATAGTGTTAGGCTTTCAAGCAATTAAAATTAACCTTCTCAAATTTAAGACTCCTGAGAAAATAATCATAAGGTATAGGATATAAACTTTCAGAACTGACCAAACTAAATTCCTAATCTTATCTCAGGATTAAATTTAATCACGACAGCCTGGTAACACAATAGAAGTAGGTGGTATTTCATTGGGGATTAATCACAGACCCATAAGATACTCAACTAAAATAAACTTGCTCTAGAAATACAAATGAGCGAAAAATAGAAAACTTAAGAGTACTAAACATGCAACTTAATTTATTGAAAATCATATATGTACATAGAGCTAATAGTTTTATTTGTATGCTAGTTTTATAAATATGAAAATCAACTCAATTGTATAATTAACATTTTTTTTACAAATAATTTTCATATTCTTACTCTTACATATTTCTAACCATGGCCTGCTTCTCTTTTGTGTTCTGATGGGCAGAATTCTTCATGTGACTCTTGCTTGACCCATTGATGCTTCCACTTCTATGCAAACTGTCAGGAACAGAGGGAAATGAAGGCTCGTCTATCTGAAAGCACTGTTACTCCAATGACATTCGTTAATCCACCTGCTATTCAAGAAATGAGTGCAAATTAGAACTATAAATCTTTAGCTTCTGCTAATGGTGGCCCTCAGAATCATCATACAACTACTTCGGAGATGCAGGCTTTGTAGGAATGCTTAGGAGTTAGGGCTTCCTGTTAAAACTAATGATTAGGGTTACTTGTTGATATTATAAAAGGGTCTTCTTTTTTTCTCAGTCAGTTTCTTCCTCGAAAGCGACTATTTGGTGTATACAAATGGCTGAAGGTTCAACTTTTATGCTCAACTGACAAGTTCTGTGCCGAATGGACCTGAAAAACTACTACTGCAGTACATTTGGAGGTTGCAGAATAAAAACAATTAAGATAAAAAGAAAAACATCATTATGGTTTCACCATCAATGTGCTAAGAATATTAAGGAAAAAAAAAAGTTATATAATTAAGTGGTTGCTTTAACATGCAAATCTAATATTGTCTTCATATCAAAACATAAATGACCCAATAAAAGAAAAACAAATAAAAAGCATACAGGTTTAAGACATACCACCTCCCTAACTCTGGAAAGGATAACTCAGTCAAAGGCCCCTGACGGTGGATGGATCCAGGCGTACTAGACACCTATGATTACGGATTGATTCATAAATTAGATTCAAATGAGGGTCATCATCATTTATGTAGTTAACAATAACAAACTCTTCAATGTTATTGACTTACGTTCAGAAGCAGGGTATGTTTCCATCTTAAAAGCAGATAAATCATCACTGAAATGAAATCCTACTAAAAGACTATAATCCATGATGCCCTCTTCCTAGCCAACAAGTGCTTATCAGCATCGCTAGGGTACCTGTGCATTTGCAGCAAAATAAATGATGAGCATACCAAATAATGCAATAAAGCATTGAATGAATTAGTAGCTTGATCGAGTTTATTTATTGTAGATTTTGAAAATATAATGAAGTCGAATGCAAAGAATGTTTATCTTTTATTTCAAACAATTGCTCTTCCTCGATCGCATAAATAGATAGAGCAAATTAAGGAACTAATGATCGAAGAGTACAAGTTATTTCTCTCTACTATCATCTTCTAAATAGTGCAGAATCCCTATAATAATAATGAGAAAAAACATGAATTCAATTGGAGAAGGCCTCCCCTGGAGCTCATATTTCAAGCTAAGCATTAGCTTTTAGAAGATTAGTATACAATACCATTTCACTGAGCAAAAACTGCAGTTTCATGTGGAGGGAACCTCCATTCTTGAGAGGAAACAAATTATCCCAGACTCCTCATTCTAGCGACAACACTGTTTTGAATTCTGTCAAGAAAAAACTACAGTATTTTTAGAACTTCAAAACTACCTTCATACCTTGACTGTGCAACTCTTAGTCATGTAGAACCTGTTCTCAAAATCTCTTCTCCCTCTTCATCATGGTGTGATCAATGCTACTTCAGTTGAGAAATCATTTTGTAAATGATCTCAGAATGGTGTGATCAATGCTACTTCAGTTGAGAAATACAAAATACTGTCATTAGCATTGAAGCAGTGCACTGGTTTTTTTTTTTTTGAGCAGTGCACTGGTTCTTTCACGTAAAAAATCATAGGTTTCTACTTTCTAGTACGCCTGGATTGAGCATTGCATCTCATCACCATCAGTAGAGCATTGCATCTCAGCACCCACTAAAGTAACAAATCGTTCCATTCCATCACCATTAATAAAATGGTAACGGCACTCATTTGCTGAGTAAATTAGAAGAACCATTTCTATACTATCTTACTAAAACAATCTTGTTTCCTAGTTTAAAAAACAATAGCAGTAATAGTATTCAATAAAGTATCAAATAAGTAAATGAGAAAAATCAAAGTAGATTATGCAGTAGAAATCAAATAAAATAAAAAATAACAATTAAGAAAAACAAACATCACTATTTTTAGAATTTAGCAAATCATTCATACCAAATTTGATAAACAAATTGAACATAATAAGACATAACTGCTAATGAAGTATCTATCAAGATTTTCTCTACTTCTAACAATACAATATATAATGATTTTTTTTTTGTTTCTTGACTGACAAAATCATAAAAAGAACTTTCTTAAGAAAATTAGGCTGCATAAACATACCATAGATTTATGTATGATAACATCTTTTAAGAAAATATGAAATTCACAAGTCTATTTAGATATATAACTTATCAGAAGTGTGAATCTAGAGCATAAATCTTCATCTGTGAAGAAGATTCTGAGCAAAGCCCTGACGGGGAGCCAAACATTAGTTGTTATAGAACAAATTTTGATTGTAAGGGTATTGTGGGTTCAATATTAACACTGAGCATGGCAAAGCAATGACTAAATTCACATTTTGTTGTGAATGTTTTTTAAATGCATACACATGTTAATATCAAAACATCAGAAAAAAAAGTAATGCAATGAATCAAATAAAAAAAATGAAGAGAACTAAAATCAGACCAACATCATGATGAACTTCAAGATTAGCAGAATATTTGCATTTTTAGCAATGTACAAAAGTCGGCGTTCGGTCGATCTTTCAAAAATTACGAGAACCTCAAGAACCCTACAAATCAAAAGAAGAAAGAATAAAATTTTATAGAACCCTAGATAATGGGCATTTGACATTCAAATGATTAAGGACAATTAAAGCATTTTACCCGATGCGGTAGTCGTGATTGTGGATTTCGCAGGAACGATCAACGAGGCGAACAAACAAAATGATGAAGGAGGCAAACGAACAAAGACGAAGGAGGCGAATGAACATTATGAAATAAGAAGAAGCGGGCTTGATAACTATCGCAAGATGTTGCTAGTTGTTCACAATCTCCCTCTGTTAATTTGGGCGAAAAGAAAATATGTCGATATCTTTTGCGCTCGTGCCAAATCCCTCAACTAATTAGCGGAAAAAGAGAATATGTCTTAATAAATATTTGTTAAGGCAGTTAAATAAAAGTGCCTTAATATATATGTCCTTAAAACTTATTGTTTTTTGAAATTGTTGACAAGCGATCCTTAAAAATAACAAGCCACGAGCTTGAATATAAGTTGTTGTTTGAAAATCCAAGTTCATAATGCCATGGAAGGATTGTTCTTTCTATGTTAGTGAAAAGCAAACAACGTTTATTTTTACGATGGAAACTTTATTTATTCATTGAAGTAGCAGTCTTTGAGCCCCACCAGACAATGTAATGACATTTTCAAGAAATTGAGAACAATTTTTTGCATCAATTATGTTTGTTAATATAAGATAAATAAGGTAATAAGTATAGCTTTAGTTATTTTCATCTTCTTTCTCATGCCATGGAAGTCATGGGACTGCTTTCAACTATTATCTTAGGTGATAAATGAACTATTTAAGAATAGTTCTTGTACGTAGTTCACTAACAATTTATTAAAAGTAAAAGAGTTCTAATAGTGTTAGTTCTTCTTTTATACTTCGAGTCTCCATTACTCTCATGTTGGTAACTTTTACAAATAAATAATTTGACATTAATGTCTTGCATTAATTTGGTTCCAAGCGAGTTTTTTCTGACAATTTAAGAAGGGATGTAAACTAGTCTTGCTTACATTTGGTGTATTAGCACAAAATGAAGACATTAGATTTAAATATCAAGTTTTATTCAAGTGTAAATTCCCAAATTTTATATTTTAAAATAATATATGGCCGGTGGTCCAAGGGGACAGGGCCCCATGGTGGAATTCGACTTGCCCGGTCAGGTCGCAGGGTCAAGGGGCAACACCCTTGCGGGGATTTCCGGGGGCAGCGCCCCCGAAACAAATTTTGGTTATAAGTATTTTTATTAGTTCATCATTTCTAACAAATAACATGGTATATTTTAAGTGGGAATACATCAACGTACAAGTGTTCATTGCTACGACACAGTAATAAAGATGAGAGCATCAATACATTGAGCATGGAAAAGCAAGGAAGAATTATTGCAATGTTGTCAAAAAACGAGTTCATATCACTCACCAGCATCTAAGGACACTGAAGATCAACAAATTTGTTGTAGATACAACTTACAATGTGCTCCATTCACTTGCTTTAAGAAAAAAAATCGTGTAAGAAGTTTTACATATGTACATAAAACCGATAGGATTTAGTGTGTATGCAAATGTAATAAATATTGATGTTTGCTCCCTAATTCTGATACACTAAAACCAAAATCGTTCCCTGCCACAAAATTTTATTAAGTTAGTGGTCATCCATCTACTTCCTTTTTTTCTCTAAAGATTTTAATTTACATGGAAAAAAGGTTTTCTTTTTACCCTAAGCATTAGAAACATGGCAGGAAAACTTTCAGAAGAAATCACATCAATTCAAATTCAAATAAAAAATACTCCATAAACTAGATTAAGAAAA